TGTGTTGTGATCCTGACTTTCATTCATTCGTTCGTTCATTCTTTGAAAATCATGACGCCAATTAATTGCTACCTCAGATCGATCTACCTCTTTCAATCACTGGTTTTCAGTGCGTGCGTGCGTGACATGTCTGGGGAATTAACGTCCCCCACAATGAATGCAGATTCGGGAATTGTGGGATTTCTTTCCTCGTCGGGCCTGGCATTCTCGCTCTGGTTCCGTTTTGCTGTTTGTCTTTGCTCATCAAATCACACCCATTCCTTTCCTTCCCGTCTTCAAAACTTTGCCCCTCCATTTCTAGTTTTTGTACTTCTAGCTAATGTACTCGCTCCGATTCACAGCCAGAGAGAGAGGGAGATATTGCGATTTTTTTTTTATCTTATTAATAAGGCACATTATTAATTTTTATAGTAATTTTCTCTTTTTACCCTCTATTAAATATTAAGAGAGAGAATATGTTATTAAAGTATTTTTCCCAATTCTTTTCTTAAATCACATTTCAGAAGTTTTTTTGGTCAAATGTATAAGTCACTTTTCCTTGTCTTCGGTTACCTTTGATACACAATTCCAAAAATATCTTTTAACAGATTCTAAAAAGAAGTATAATATTTCAATTTTAAAAAAAACTCTTCTCACATACTCCCTTTATTAAAAGATGTAAGATATTTTTTGAGAGATTGAATGTTAAAAAATGTAAAAAAATTTTAGTATTTTAAAGTTTAATCATTGTCATTTTTCAAAAATATTGCTCCTAATGAATAAATCATTTCATATTTATTTTAGAGTGAAACATCCTATTAAATAGGCATTTTGTATTTATTTTATATAAGTAACTACTTTATTGGGAGGTGAGATTCGATTAAAAATATCTTCTATTTTCAAATGGAGGAAGTATCAAATCACCCTTTTTTTTTAATTTAGGGGTAAAATTGGAAAGTGAATAATTTTTTAAAAATTTTATTACTCTAACTCACTTATCTTGGTTTTGGTAAGTTAATTAGAAGTTACTTATGAAAAAGATTGAAGAAATATGTATGTTTAGACATGATTAACGGTAATTAGAGATAACTTATAAATAAACCTAGAAAGTATATATATCCTAAAAGAAGATATGTGAAAGTGGGTGAGGATATTTTTTATGAAAATTATCACTCATTTAATTTATATAAGCCATTTTTTAAAACAATATAGATAATTGCAGTGTCATTAATCATTTTTAATGGCCGAGGCTTTTAATTTTCCTGTTTTTATTGTTTTTTTAATTGATCTCTATGTCAAAGAAGTTATTGTAGTGGCATTAATTGATTGGCATGTTTGAAACACGCTGGTCGTAGCCAACCCATAGAAGAGTGTAAAGCTGCTGGGATTTGGGATTATATATTTTCTGACCACAAAAGATACATCTCATCTTGTTGAAAGATAACTAATAGTATTTTATCTCCCGCGAATTGATAAGAAGATAACCGCATCGTCATGACAAAACATTATCCAATGGCTTTAAAGATTAACGTATTAATTAGATTAAAGTTACTGATAATTAAAACGACTCCAACTGAGAGAGTCTTTTATCCAAAGTGTTGAAAAGAGGACATGTCAAAAATTAGAAGTCCTTGCATTTCCTAACAGGAGGGAGAAGGTTAATAATCGGAACATCAAAATTAGTGGGCCATTCATATTCGCCGTTGAGAGGACCAGTTCCCACTGATATGGTCTGAGATCACACCACTTGCATGTGCAATTTAATTGGGTCGAAAGAAGCTGTTCTGGGCCTTAGAAATTGGGCTACGTGGGCCCATCAACAAACATCAATGAGTGCTGCCCATGGTTCTATCACAGAATTGTATACAAAGCAAAACTTTAAATTTTTGTTAAAAAGAATGCTTACATTTAATATCTGATTGTATTTTAAATAAAATTATTTTTAACATAAGAACACATATAAGAAATAAAAAGGAAAGAATTGTATCGTTAATAATTTGTAAATAGTTGATTGGATTATAAATTGCATATTTAAGATTTATATTTTTTATATTAATATAAAAGGTAACAAGAATTGCCGTTGACTCCTATTAAAGTCTCATGCATTCTTTTTTTTTTTTTTCTCACAACACTCGTGTATTCTTATATATATACATATATATGAAGTTTAGATAAATTAGGTTACTCACCAATAAGATATTTATACTAGTAGCGAGATATGACTATAAAATTTTATAAATTATGAGTTAAATTCTTAAATTTGTGTGAAAATGAATTAACAATCAAAAAGCATATATTTAATTTCAGTAAAAAAGAGATGTATGGAGAGAAATTGAAGATGGCAATGGGCAAGGGAGTCGACGTCAGAAACCATTGATTGGTTTGGGGTGAAGAGCAAGAACAGTGCCTTTGCACACAAATAATTGAGTATGCCTTTACACACAAATAATTGAGTAGCCCTTAAACGTAGCAAAACCAAACACATTGGAACATTTCGTAAAAAACAACTCTCAATTGCCCACCCTTAAAACCACAGGCAACGTCTCCATTCTAAATTGGTCGAGTAACGAGACTGGGGAAAGAAAAGGTTCAGTTTTCTTCGTCACCAAAGAAGCGGGTTTCAGTCGCCATGAACATGAAGGTTTCTTGCGCCATTCTCATTGCTGCCGCCTCCTTGAGCACTGTGTTGTCCGATATTGTAGTTACTACTCCGGTCGCCGCCCCTGGCCTAAGCAGCTCAGCCCACGACAACTTGTCATTTGTAGGGTCCTTGCTTAGTGCCTCGGTCTTGTCTTTCCTTACCTTGTGTTTCCAGTAACCTCATCAAACATGGCAGACTCAAGTTGGGAACAAAAGTGCATGGCGAGGAGGACCGCATTCTATGGATTAAAGGAGAGATAAGAAAAACCATATAACTTTATTTCAGTGGTTACCATTGTCGGGTTTATTATATTTTGTTCTCATATTATTTGAATTTAATTCTCTTTCCTTTTCTATTATTTCATTGTATCTCTATTTCCTTCACCTTGTTTTAATTCTAAAAGTTAGCCTACTTGAAGAAAATTTAATTCATTGTTTTAGGGGAATCATAGTTTAAATATAACCTATGAGGCAGAAAAATAATCAATAAAATCTTATTTCCCCCCCCCCCTCCAATCATGCAACAATTTCAATAGAAAAAGCTCGCATTACTTCCGAAAATACACATCTCTTACATTGATGTATAAATTAATTAATGAAGATAAGGCCCTTTTGTTTTATCCTTTGAGTTGACTATAGGATACACTGGAAGAACGTTTGTTGACACATTACGACAGTAGAGAACATATAATCCCGAATACACCATTTAAAATGAAAGGCTTGTGATTACTCACTACAGACATACCATATAGAGAAAAAAAGAAAGATCACCCAAGCTAATATATTTAGAGAGAGAAAAAGAGACAACCAACATGGCTTTATTTGATCAATAAACAATAAAATACTAAATTAAATGATTAGTAAAGAATACATGCAAATCGATCTCATCATTTACTTGTTCGGCATGGTCACAGTAACACTAAAACTGAAGGTTGAAATTGTGTTTTTCTTCCTTGACAAACTCCTACAGTTAGGGGTGAATATCGGTCGGTTCGATTCGGTTCAGTCTCAAAATATGCAGAACCGATCGATCGAATAATACTGAAAATAAAAACTGAATCGAACCGAATAAGCCAATCGAATCGAACAAGGACCGAACCGAAATTTGATAATTCGGTTCAGTCAGTTAATTCGGTTTTTCAGTTTCATATTTGACTATTAAAATTGGGCCCATTTTTTAAATATTAAAACAAACAACACTATAAAATTAGGCTTTTTTTTCTATTCATTTTTTTCAATATGAGCTCATTCTAATTACACTCATATGATATAAAGTCCAAATATTATAAAGGCATGGATAATCAAATAAACAACCACAAATAAACACCGATGATCAAATAATGGCCCCATAATCCAGTCACAACACCTACTGATGAGGGTGATTGATTGAAAAAGTTTTTCAAGTGATGTTATTATTTTTTATTCTTTATTAAAATAAAAATAAAAATAAAAATAAAATAATTTATAAATTAAATATAATTTATAAATTAATAAATTATATGTAATTCGGTCGGTTCGGTCTATTCAATTTTAAATTTTACTAACCGAATCGAACCGATCAACCAAAATATGTAAAATAAAAAAACTGAATCGAACCGAAAAATCAAATAGACCGAATCAAATAGATAAAATTCGGTTCGGTTCGATTTTCAGTTTCGATTCGGTTTTGCTCACCCCTACCTACAGTCATAAACACTGAACACACTTAGAAGATTGAAGATGCAGCAATACAAGATGAGAGGATAACAATGAGTTCGCATTTTAGCTACAAAATGATCCTATCTAACTTACTTTTTCGAAGATGATCACAAGAACTCAACTCGTTGCCTCAATTGTGCAAAATTGGTTTCTCTTTTTTCATTCTTTCCTTTTGATTTAGCAAGGGCAAATGAATAACTTAATTTATTGAATTGTTCACGTCAAAGAATCAAGGGACTGTAGAATATTTTTTTCACTTGGTGGGACTTGGTTGTCTTTATATTTGCTTTATGAAACTTAGGTGTGATTTTTTTTTTTTGGGTTAGTCCTGGCTATTATTCCAAATCATTGACATTCTTTAAATTTCATTCAATACATAAAACACGCATTTAATTGTTTTAAAATGATTAAAAAGATACTGCTTCTGCCAATAAGAATTTTTATTTTTATTTTTTAATTTTGGACAAAAAAAAGACGGGTTTACTTGAAAACGAAAGCAGAAGACAGCAAGTTCACCCTTAAAAAAAAAAACAAAACAAAACAAAGGAAGAGAGGCGGCAAACCGGTAATTAAGAGGAATTAGAGGGGTGTTTTATCAATAATCACCGACTATGCACCTGCGGATAAGAGTTGATTCAAAACCCGACCCTTCTACTTTTCTCGCTCCGGCGCCTCTGCCTCTGCTCTGCTGCTGCGTTTCACCGGGGTTCTGGTGTTTCTGGTGTTCGATTTCTACAAGTATTACCATTCCCCTTAAAGGTATTTTGTGGTGTTTATCAAATTTCCCTTCTTATTCATCTGCTAGTTGTTGGAGACTTGATTACCTTGTCTGATTGTTTGGATCGTTAAAGCCTAGCAAATTGGTGAGAGTATCAGTTTCCATTTAATTTTTTCCCTTTCCCGATTTGCTGGTCTCTACCTCTCGGTAGTTTATATCAATTTTTGTTTACTGATTAAGTGGATTACTGGTGGAGGCTCTGAGTTGTTATTTCGGATTTCTTAATTCTGTTTTGGGCCTGGGTTAATTTTATGGAACTTCGGTTCTCGGGTATGCTCTGTAACGACAGAAAATCGATGTTATGGACGGCTTTTTCTTACTTCCCTTATTCGGTGGGAAATTTCTGCCGACCTGGTCGTATGCGTCGCTTGTGGAACTGAGGCTTGCTTATATTGCTTGTGGGTTAATAGGTTTAGTTGGCCCGTTTAAATTAAAAGCAAATATTTCTTGCTTGTTGAGTTCATAAGCAAATAGTGTGTCTCTGTGTGTGTATTTAACTGGACATTACTGCAACAACAACAAAAACAAAAACGTCTATTGTCTATATCCATCCATGTGAGATTCAACAAAGTTTTATATTGATTGCTGAGAGGCTAACACAACCTTCCTCCTTTACCCAGGCTTGGGACTGGCTATAAAATATAGGCAGAGTTTAACTTGACATTACTGCAATTCTCAAAATCGAATTTTATTTTGTGACAACGATTAGCAATTTAGCATTGAGCAAAGTGACAAATTGAGATGGAATTCTGCCAGTTTTTTCGCAGAATTTTTTTTTGGGGTTTTATTTTGTCGTTGCCCCCCCACCCCAAAAAAAAAAGTCCATGTTAAGTATGATAATATATTGAATATTAGTTTTTGTTGGGATGTTTATGTTAGCTTTATGCTGCTATCTTATTATTTGCAAGTGTATTTTGCTGTGTTCGTGTAAACCCTTGATGTGGAGTGCCAGTGCAAAGTTCTTTTTAATTGTTAATATCTTGTGAGGGAATACCTTTCTTTTCTTTTTGTCTGTCTTCTTTAAAGATCAGGTGCTTTGGTTGCAGGTGGTCATAAATAATGGAGTCTCACGATGAGACAGGATGCCAGGCACCAGATCGCACCATTCTTTGTGTCAACAATTGTGGCTTTTTTGGCAGAGCTGCTACCATGAATATGTGTTCCAAATGTTACAAGGACATGCTGTTGAAGCAGGATCAGGCCAAACTTGCAGCATCATCAGTTGAAAACATTGTGAATGGCAGCTCTAGCAGCAGCAGTGGGAAAGAGGCTATGATTGCATGTTCTACTGATGCGCAAATTGGGACTGTGGAGATAAAGACAATACATGCAGAAATTTGTCAGGATTCATCCTCTAGTGAGAATTTAGAGATGAAAGTCAAGACTGGTCCCAGTAGATGCACCGCTTGCCGGAAGCGTGTTGGATTAACTGGTTTTAGCTGCAAATGTGGGAACATTTTCTGTGCAGCGCATCGCTATTCTGACAAACACAACTGCCCTTTTGATTATCGGACAATTGGTCAGGATGCTATAGCTAAAGCCAATCCTGTAATTAAGGCAGAAAAGCTTGACAAAATCTAGGCATGCCCTAAACTGAAGTCGAATGGACGAGGATTGATGCTTCACTTTTTATCAACATGTCTTCATATATGTTTGCTTCATGACTTTTCAGGTGTCCTATAGTGTTTTCAATGATCTATGTCACAACAATAAGGACCTCATTAGGGAACATCTGCGTTATGTGTCAATTGGCAAAGATTCACTTGTTAGCTGCTGCTTGAATGTTTGTGCTAGTTGAAGGACACCTATCGGTCATTCTGTAAATGGTTTCCTTGTTTGTCTTGCATTATTTTGGTGCATGAATGCTATTTATTACGTATCTATGTATGTGTTTTTAACTTTGAGACTGTTTAAATGATACTTATTTTACCTTATTACGCACTATTATGTGTTCTTCCAAAGTTGGAGGCTATTGGTTGGACTCGTTTTTCTTTTTTATTAAATTAATATTTCTCACTTTATATTACGGTTGACATTTCTGGCATTCAAATTGTGTAGTTTTGGTTTAGCACGGGATCTTTGTCTGTAGTCTACCTTATATGAGCCTTAGGAATTCTTATATATATTTAACGATATGCGTCTTATTTAATCTGATTGCATGTTGCTGATATAGTTTTTGAGTGTTATTTCTTCATTGGCAAGGGATGTTCCCTTGCACTCATAACTATTTTCCCTGTATTTGGTATATGTTAGGGTTCTGAGTTCAGATACAAAATCCATTGAGTTGGCTGTCGGAGAAGATGCGTTTGTTTAATTTGATAGTTTTGGCCTTATAACGATATACGATATCATGGGTTTAATGCTGGTGGCTTTTTAAAAGGAGCCGAGGAGGGTGTTTTAAGTTAAATACATGAGGAAAACCTGGCTGAAGGAGGGCCTATCGCCAGCATTTTATTTTGTAATCTTGTCATGGATTTTGGTCGGTTAACGCCCTGCTGACAGGTAGTTGGCTACTGCTCTATTCTTTTCCTCCTTGGGGGTGAACTGTATCTGTTTCAGTCCAAGCAATTGAATTGCCACAGAGCATTATGTGACTTTGGTTTTAAGACTGATGCTATGTATTGGTGTTCAATGCGTGAAATTCTAAAATTTTAATGGGTTCCGATTTGAGAAGTCCGTAATAGGATGTCTATGTATAAGATCAGTGATCTGAATAGTTGGAGATGCGTGCACAGAGATATTGATTTAACAAATGATACCAGAGAGGCTGTTATCATTGTTCAATTTATACTTCAGGCTGCATCTGAAAACTAATTCGTTGATCATCTCCAAGCAGTTGCTTCAAAGTTGCTATTGGCATCTGGCCGTATATTTATCGAGTTTTCTTTTCGGTAGCAATCTCACCTGGAGGGACTGTTATTACCTGTCGTGTGTGAGCAAGAAGACGAAACGCGGCACACGCAGTTGAATGTTTCTTGTGGTGCGCTTAAGCGACGGTCGAAATTGTTATGCAGTAAGACGTATACGTCTTTTTCCAACGACCAAACCCGTGGTCTGAGCTCTCTTCGCGCCTGAACAACTGCATATCTCATTACTCGTTTCTTGATGAGAGAATAGCATACTCATAAAACTCATGTGCTCCAATCTTTACTCTGCCTGGTCGTCAAACTCCACGCTCTCCAATAAAATTGTGATTGCCGACTACATGTGCGGTTCTATTCTTAACATATGTCCGTCAAAACCTCCAATATCTGCATGTGTAATTCGACATCCTTTTATGTCGTAATTCTCTGCTACGCTTTATCCACGAGTTCTAAAGGGCTTTCTAATTAATTGTTTCAGTCTGCTCGTTTGTATCCCAATCCCACTGCTTTTTTAAAGTTACAGTCCTTGGCCCCGTGGCTGGCTTTGTTCCCGGGTTAGAGAGGCAAACTATAGCAGATTTTTCTCGTTTTTACTCTACAAATTCAAAGGTTGGATACATGTAATGTAATGCACTTTGCACAATTTCTATAAATATGGGCCAGATTAGAAAACATGAAGCCTAGACGACCCCACCCCTCCACCGTCCCCAGAAAGCGATGTTGGTATAACCAGAGATGATGAAGCAAAGCTATAGAATGAGTGATACAATTATTATTATTATGCACCCTGGTCCTCATGTCTTTCTTCAGAGTAATGAGTAATGTTTGATAATAAGCTTGCCCTTTGCTCACACCCATGACCTTATGTCCCGTTTCTGTATTAAAAGACAAAACACGTCGCCCTCATTACGTGGCTTCTCATCTCTCTTGTGTGATTTGGGGTCTAGAGAATATTTTTGCTAACAAAGAGAGCAGCACAGACACCCATGCTCTCTTTGTTTACAGAGTATCACAGCTCACAACGCATTGATACGCTCCTTCATAAATTACTAATTATTTTCGTGACATAAAATAATGCTGCGACTTTGTCCTTGGTATCTCTGTTCCTCTTGGATGCTCCAAAATTTGACCTTTTTGCTCATTACAAAGTTGACTCTTGAAAGTATTGGAATATGCTTTCTTCAGGTTTCCCCAATGGACAGTGTGAGATGTGCCAAAACCGCATATGCCCACACCGTTTCTTCAAAATTTTAATCACTCAGGAAATATACCCTATCTTTAACGGCATTTTACTCGGATTTTTCTCCGAAAAATTTCCATTCCTATCTAACTTTACGTAGATTATTCGTGAAGAGCTAACACTAACTACATAGATAGATTAGTGAGGCATTATTTAAAAAGAAAAAAAGAAAAAGAAAAGAAAAAAGATGGAAGCATAATCTAAGTGATAAAGGCACCTTTACTAGTCGGTGGCATTGAAAATCATGATTCTCCAAAGCGCACGCATCGCTTGATGCCTTTGACCGCCATGATCGATGAGCCATCAAGCTTTGTCTCATTGCATACAGCTAACCAATATATATTATTTTCCTCCTTGTACTTTCTCTACCTATTCTTCTGCACTCTTGATCAATCTTCATTAATATCTAAAACATGTTAATTTATTTACAAGATAAAACAAATAAATAAGGGTGTGACTTTCTTGAGTGGCCCTGACTGATCATGCCTCGCAAATTAGTAGTGATTATGCAGCAGCATCCCGTATCTTCCAGCTGATTACTCCTCGTTCCTTCGTGACGAGTACGTTTCAAGGCAAAGTCAAAGATGTTGATTAAATCTGCCAAACCCACCTATTATTGTTGATATATACAACCACTTGCCGTTAATCATACTTGACTCGCTTCACCGTCTCTCTTATTCATTCCTGTTTCGGGGTGCTCCAGAGCTCTTGTTCTCCACCAGAAGAATCTAAAAGATCTGACAGCGCAGGTCTCCAGATTTTTTTTCCCTTCTCTCTCTCTCTCTCTCTGTTTTTTTTTTTTTTTTTGCCTTTTTCATTTTCACCCTTTTTCCAGTGCCAGCAATAATAACTGTGGTCCTTCGCAACTTTTTACATCTTTACAGCTAAAGGTCAAAGATCACGTAAATAAAGTCAACTTTGTAGAAAATCCTCCCTTAATCACACTCAACAACCCTCTCATCTACGGTAATTAATAATTATTCCTGGGAGGCGTTGTTTTTTAGGTACGTGTTTGGATGGGAAAGTTCTGAAAAGGGAAACCAGCCTCGTGGCGTTGTACAGTTTGAAGTTGCTGGAAATCCTTGCAAAAAGGTTGTAATTTGAATCTAGTTGCACTTTGATGCATTTCCAGAAATTTTTTTACTCTCTCACGTCTTCTTTCGCTAAAGGAAGTTAAACCTAATTGATCCGATAACATGACAAAAGTCACACATTTAAATATTAAAAAATAAATTATAAATATATAAATTTAAAAGTATTAATTAAGTGGTTTAAATCATTTTAGTAGAATATACTATCTTTAAACATATTTAATATAAAAAATTTAATATAATATTATGAGCCATTCGATTAAAACAAAACAAAATGAAAGATAAAAAAAATAAAAATTAAAAAAAGCAAGGAGAAGGAGAAAAGAAAAAATTAAATAGACCTGAGACTTTTGAGATTGAAAAATATATATATTAAAACAAAAAACAATCACATCTAAAAATTAAAATATAAATTATAAATATATAAATTTAAAAATATCTAATTAAATAATTTAAACTATTTTGATGGAATATATTATTACTTAGACATCACTCTCTTCCTTCCTTCTTCTTTTTTTTGGTGATATTTTGGATATTTCATCATGAGGTGTTATTGATGATTATGGGCACACGCTAGTTGTCTTAGAAAAAGTTTTCACTAATGGCAACGTGGCTTTGTCGAACTTTCAATTGGAAAGAGATATGATCAAGATCAACTGCATAATTCCGTGTATTATGACAAAACAGACCACGCAAGTGAACTTAGGTGGTGAAAATTTTGGAGCTGAAAGAGGAAATAAAATGTGATCCGAAAAGACAGTGAATAAAATAATGTACGAGTCCGTGACGGCTGTATGTGTAAGGCACATTTCCAAATTTCCATTACTGTCGGTGTTGCTTTGCAGATGCTGATCCTGAACCGTAGCAATGCACAGCAGAGACGCCTCTCACTTCACTTGTGACCAAAGCCATTGACCTTTTGGTCTTTTGGTGCTAATAAATGAGGAAGATATCAGTATTATTATTATTATTATTATTATTATTATTATTATTATTATATTAATAATTGATGATTATAGTATTTTAGTATTATTCATAGTGATGTGTGTCGAGGCCATGGCTCGAGCGAAGGGGAGTTTTGTCGTGTAATACGATTGTCGTTTATGAAACTGCTCACGAGATGCTAAGCTTGCCTTTCACACCTTCCCATTCAATTTTCCACTGACTCTCCTTCCTTTTACAATCTCCATGCGCCTTTTCAATTCAGATTCCTTAAATTTCATGTCGTTTCGCATCACTGGTAAGAAAACGATACACACATTAACATTATGAATGCATATTTCTTTCTTTCTTTCTTTCTTCTCGGGGCCACTGATTACAATATATTTCAATTCTTCTATTTTATAAACAATTTTTTGGTCAAGTATTTTATAAAAAAGTCACGAATTTTTATTTCTCATGTTTAGTGTGAGAGGCTCAGGACTGTGGTTCACAAAACTTATTAGTGATTTATTGTCCAAAATCATATTATTGATGAAGACCTTTTTTTTTATACGTTAAAAGGATTTGAACCCTTGATCTATGCCCACATCCTTGACCAATTGATGATGTTCTCCTTAAAATATATTTTAAAAATTTCCATCAAAGTCCATTTCAATCCTTTTTTCAATCAGTTTGACAAAAATGGAAGAAATTATTACCACATCTTAAAAATTAAACAAATTAACCCGTACAATTTAATTTTTTAAAAAATAGGCGTCAAATATAAAACTATTTGCAAATTACTTTTTATACATTTCAATTTTTGTCTTTTATAATTGTTCTCGGACGAGATTTAGTCGGATAGAATTTTATAATCTAGTAAACGAGACTCAGAGGTGGAAACAAAAAGAAAGGAATCAATCGTGAAAAGAAATGGAGCAGGTAAAACATACCCATTGATTTATTTTTATATACACTTCGGACTATAATTTTCAAAGTGGGTAGATTTGTGTCTCCGGATTCTTAAACATTAAAAAATGTCATCTTGTTTAATATTTTAATGCCAAACAAAGGGGAGGTAAAGACATTCGATCCCATCCCTTACGTGGCTCTCGTTATGCCCAACTGATTAACAGATTAAACTGTTGATAAGAACAATATAAAATCAATTATTTAACCGGGTCTGGGTATCGGAGTTCGACAAGTTGAGTTCTTCGAGTATAACATCATGGGGCATCTGATGAGCGAGAAACTCCGCTCTCCAAATTTTAATCCACATATTCTTCCCTTGGATATTTATATTAATTATAATTTTTAATCCTTAACGGGAAATTCTTGGGGATGCAAGCCGTCTGATTTCTGACAGTCAATAAGGAGGACCCCACCTCAGGACAGAAGTTGACAAAATAACCATGTGACCTTAGCCATGGATTTTGCATTTTGGGGTCTCACCACCAAGCCAAGCACAATACATTACATGCCAAACATCATCAATCTTCAATTTAATGCTGAGGTACATTGAATTTATTTCCCTCCTCAATAAGGTTTCTGTTTGGATGGTGGAGTGTCAAATCCTGGACGAACCCTAGACTTTGTTTTTATCTTCTTAGGATTCTACTTTTAGCGTTGAAAAACTCACACACTCGATCTTCTTCTCTTCTGGGGTCAATGGGTAGATGGATTCTGTGCTGCTCATGCTGTGTTGGCTCTCTTTTGGAGAGATTTGGGAGAGGTAATTATTCATAAATTAAAGTGAAAACCAGAGCCAAAATCAATAAAGCAGTGGTGGGTAGTAAACTAGAAATGCAGAGAAGAAACTCAGCAGGAGCATCAATGCTTGTACTGAATTGCAGAAAGGTGAAAACACGAAGCAATATTATAGATAAAAAAAAAAAAAACGGCTTTCGATATTTTTACATGACAAAATTCCCAATGGCTATAATGGGCTATTGCACGTAAATCCTTTTCCTCTGGGTCCACCATCGACGTTAATTAATATCAACTCAATCACTCACGACTCACACTGATATATAGGAAGAAAAGCATTGAAAACAACACAAAGCAAGCTCTCTTGCTTCCAGACACCTAGCTAATGGCTGCATTCTGTATATACCTGTTCCTTCTCTCTGTGTCCTTCACAACGTTCAGTCTTGGTTCATCGTCTTCGTCAGAGGTAGATATCCTTCTCTCCTTCAAGGCCTCCATTGAAGACTCTAGGAAGGTTCTGTTAAGCTGGTCCAATACTTCGTCCACTCACTACTGTAACTGGACTGGAATCGCCTGCTCCGCCACTTCTCCTTCTCCCTCTGTCACTTCCATTAATCTTCAAAACCTAAACCTTTCTGGGGACCTCTCATCTTCCATATGCGATCTTCCAAATCTGTCGTACCTCAATCTGGCTGATAATACATTCAACCAGTCCATCCCTCTCCATCTTTCTCAGTGTAGTTCGTTGGAGACTTTGAATCTCAGTAATAATCTCATATGGGGAACCATCCCAATGCAGATTTCTCAGTTTGGTTCACTGAGAGTGCTTGATTTCAGCAGAAATCACATAGAAGGAAATATCCCAGAAAGCTTGGGCTTCCTCAAGAACCTCGAAGTCCTTAACATGGGAAGTAACCTACTATCAGGTGGTGTACCCGCAATCTTCACTAATTTAACTAAGCTTGCTGTTCTTGACTTGTCTGCAAATCCATACTTGGAAAGTGAGATTCCTGAGGGCATAGGCGGACTAGGAAGTCTCAGGCAACTTCTGTTGCAAAGTTCTGGTTTTCACGGTGAAATTCCGGATTCTTTTGCGAACCTGCGTAGTTTGACTCATTTAGACCTCTCTCAGAACAATCTAACCGGTGAGATTTCTCAGGGTCTGGTGTCTTCTCTCAAGAACCTGGTGTCTTTTGATGTTTCACAGAACAAGCTTTTGGGGTCATTTCCAAATGGCATTTGTAATGCGAAAGGTCTAATAAATCTCAGTCTCCATACAAATATTTTCAGTGGTTCAGTACCCAACAACATTGGCGAATGCAAGAATCTTGAGAGATTTCAAGTTCAGAATAACCAGTTAACTGGAGACTTCCCTGATTCATTATGGTCCTTACCTAAAGTTAAGCTCATTAGAGCTGAAAACAACAAGCTCTCAGGACAAATCCCTGAATCCATATCGGGCGCTGTTCAGTTGGAGCAAGTTCAGCTTGACAATAACAACTTTGCCGGTAAAATTCCTCAGAGTCTTGGGTCGGTCAAGAGCTTATACAGATTCTCTGCATCTCTCAATCGTTTCTACGGAGAACTTCCTGTAAATTTTTGTGATTCCCCTGTTATGAGCATTGTGAATCTCTCTCACAATTCCCTTTCTGGTCAAATCCCAGAGCTGAAAAAATGCAGGAAACTAGTTTCGTTGTCTTTAGCAGACAACAGTCTTACCGGACAAATCCCTCCTTCCCTTGCTGAGTTGCCAGTGCTAACTTATCTTGATCTTTCAGCTAACAATCTCACTGGTTCAATCCCGCTAGGACTTCAAAATTTAAAGCTTGCTCTTTTCAATGTGTCCTTCAATCAGCTATCTGGTAAGGTACCTTACTCCTTGATTTCTGGTCTCCCTGCCTCATTTTTGGAAGGAAACCCTGAACTTTGTGGCCCTGGATTACCCACTTCCTGTTCTGATGACCCTCCAAGACACCATTCTGGGAGTCTCACTGCCCTAGCATGTGCCCTTATCTCTGTAGCCTTCGTTGTAGGAACCGCGATGTTCGTTGGTGGATTTATTTTGTATAGGAAGTTTAGCAAAAGGAATCAAATAGGAGTTTGGCGTTCAGTGTTCTTCTATCCTCTTAGAATTACTGAGCATGATCTGCTTATAGTAATGGATGAGAAAAGCTTGATTGGGAATGGCGGGGTTTTTGGCAAAGTTTATGTTGTGAGTTTACCCAGCGGTGAACAAGTGGCTGTGAAGAAGCTAGTCAATTTTGGGAACCAGACATCAAAAAGTTTGAAAGCTGAGGTCAAGACATTGGCCAAGATTAGGCATAAGAATGTTGTTAAAATCCTGGGCTTTTGCCACTCCGATGAGTCAATCTTTCTTATTTATGAGTACTTGCAAGAAGGAAGCTTAGGGGACTTGATTTCCCATGAGGATTTTGAGTTGCAGTGGGAGGCAAGATTAAGGATTGCCATCAGGGTCGCTCAAGCACTAGCTTATCTTCACAATGACTATGTTCCTCACTTGCTTCACAGAAACGTCAAGTCCAAGAACATTCTGCTGGATGCAAACCTTGAGCCAAAACTCACAGATTTTGCTCTTGATCGAATTGTGGGAGAAGCCGCATTTCAGTCAACTGTTGCTTCTGAAGCAGCATCTTCCTGCTATAATGCTCCAGGTATGACAACTTACTCTTAAACCCTTATTAATTTCTTACAAAATTGGTTAGTTTTGGAAGGTAACCTCAAGGTTGTCTATTGCAGAATGTGGGTACAGTAAGAAAGCAACTGAAGAATTGGACATATACAGCTATGGTGTTGTATTGCTAGAGCTTGTGACTGGGAAGCAAGCGGAGCAAACAATATCAACGGAGTCTCTTGACATAGTGAAGTGGGTTCGAAGGAGAGTGAACATCACTGATGGGGTGTATCAAGTACTTGATCCCAAAATATCACATTCCAATCAGCAAGAAATGATTGGAGCTCTGGAAATTGCTCTTCGTTGCACTTCCGTGGTGCCTGAAAAAAGACCATCGATGGTAGAAGTTGTAAGAGCTCTTCAGTCGCTTGAGTGGCGAACCATCGTTGCAAATTCTCAGGATCCAAATGAGGAACCCTCGATTCCCGTGTGAACTCGTGACCCCGAGTGGCGATTTTTCGCTGAATCATTTGTATGTAAATGCTGTTTTATATTTGCAATCTGTTTTTGATATCTGATGTTGATTTGCAGTAACTGTATGTTAAGGTTGTTCCTGTTTGGCATCGGGTTCTGTTTTAAGGTTTTGACCGCAGATATATACACGACATCTTTCCGACGTCGAATGTAAATGATTGTCAGGCATCACCGACTTACCTGGCAGGCATTCACGATGATGTTGTTGCAGGCGAAGGTTGAGGGAGCCGAGGACTAGCTCTAGTTGTGAGTGTAGGGTGTTTGAAAAACAGAGCATCAACGCAAATCTCGTCCATTTCATGACACTGAAAAAAATTAAATTTAATAGATGAGTGAGAATTTGTAGCAGCATTACCGTCTCCAGGTTTTGATTATGATGATTCCTTCAAAATAAGATATTTTTTCATAGAACATTTCAAAGTAGCGTAGATTCCATGTGTTCTTTTATATTTGATATATTCTTTGAAATATGGAACCCAGCCTGTCGATTCAACTCGGTCGAATTTCGAATAGACTATTCCTTGAAGAAAAAGAAACCATTTTGAGTAATTGCTATGATTAAAATGGTATAACCAAGTTATCATTGCCATTGATATTTCTTTGGACGCAAATGAAAATTAGCATAGATAATTTGAGACATCATTGAAGTATCATAATGATGTTCATTTGATGTCTAATCAACTTGGATTACACTTCACCTACAGATCGCACAACAGCTAATCTGCCCAACGGTTGACGGAGTTGATCATGATACTCGATTAAAGTCATAATTACACTCCACATAAATGAACAATGAAGGTCTTTTAAAGATCTCTTCAAAAATTTTAATATAGTTTAAATATCATAAAAATGAAAGTACTTTCAAGAAACTTGCTATTTCATGATTTCATCCATTTATGACATTCTGGTTTAAAAAAAAAAAAAAACTGCATTACATGAAAATTTTCAATATATCTAATAATGCGCGGGATTTTTTTCTTCAAACCGACGCGAGCTAAATCCACAGGCCCCAACTAAAAAGCCAAGAAACAGTAACCCGAAAAGATTTCTGTGTACTGTTTTTCCAAAACAGACTTTTCAGAAACAGTAAAAATGATTCAATGCTACTCTACCAAGGACTTGATCTTCTGTACAGGGCTTGAGTCGGATTTTATTATTACTCGAGATCTTTCAATCATCTTGATTCTTTCTACTCCTTATCGTTTCTTTTTTCCCTATATCCTTTCCTCCACATTCATTTATGCTCTAATAAAAGAGCTCAGGTACACGTATAGAACTCTCAAAGTTCACAAGGACCAGACTTGACGAAGAAGCTGATATCTAGCATTGGTGCTGGCATGAGTGTACCGTTCTTTGGGCATGTCTTCTCCATGAGATGCTGGAAGTGAAGGCCGCTTATCAATGATGGATGTAAGAGGAGATTCCAGTTCCTCCAATTCCTCATCACTCGTATATCCTCTCCTCTGAACAGCTGAGGCATTTCTGGCCAAGTGAGACTTGCCTCCTGCGTCGCCAATTTTCTCTGCCACATTAGCCGAGGAAGGAGGGTTATACACAACCGGAGCAGCTGCATATGGGAAGCTTCTGGTTGAGTCTCCCGATAATCTTCTCTCCACAATCCACTAACACCAAATTAAACAACATTCAATAACTTAGTTTTTACAGTTTAACGGTGCGAGATAAATGCAGTGCTCTTACAAAAGTTACACGGGGCATTTGATTAAACTGCCATCAGTTATACAAATAAAAGTACATAACAAAATTCTCATAACATTGATTGTTCTTATGGATAAGTCATTGCTTATATGAACGTGTCCTTCTGTAAAAAAATACAGCCTAAACAGGAAATAAGTGCTGATCATACCTCAGCATTCAGTGCCTCTAACACAGCACCGGGAACAGGGTCTGGACAGAACTCATCCGGAGTGAAGTTGCAGAGTATCCGTTTAACCAATGGAAGGGTGATAGATGGACACACCTGCGAAGCATAAATATGAAATGAGGGAAGTGAGCTAGCAAGCAAAAGAAAAAGCTTAAGGCAATGTCCATGAATGGAAAGTAGAATTAGTTCATTAGAGATTAACCTCTTGTCTGACATGCCTATCCATAAGCATGTCTTTTGGGAGCATGAGGAGGTCACTCAGGTCGTTCAGGAGAGGAAAAGATTGAGGTTCACCATCTCCACCCCGCCGGTCATCCTTACAGTTCTCATCTTCAGGAGCACAGTCTTCAGCATCCATCCCAAACATGTCAGTAAGCCATCTAGACCAATTTCCTACCTGCATTTCAATTAGCTTTTCTTCAAACCTGAACTCTTATAAGTATAAATTCCGGATAAGAAATCCACTTAATACAAAACTAGATACATTTTTCCGTGCATTAAGCAATTTGAGGTGATTTGCATTGTTCATATTTTCATGACTTGTGAATAAATTTTATAGTTTATGTTAAGATTAATAATAGTTATATACATCAACTTGACGGTAGTACTATGACCCCAAATTTTGTTCTTTCACATAATTTCCCACTATGATTCAAGACAATGTTTAAATAATGTATGGAAAAATAAGTTGCAAGAAAAAGGAACGTACAGAATTTTTAAGCTGTGCACCAGACCCAAAGCTTAAATCTCCTGCTGGAATTGGCAGAACCTTTGAATCCACGATAGGGTCTGATACAGGATCAGTTGGAATCTCGTGGACAGACTCCCGCAGTAGAGCATTGAAAATTGCAACATCTAGTCTGCCTATGCACTGTTCCATTACCTGATAAAAGAATTTAAATTTAAATATTAATAAACCTTTCGAGCCAGACAAATGGAAATTTACATTATTTCTAAGAAATGATAAAGATAAAGTGATATTGAAAACACACCATTCTAGCCAGTACAGGCAAACACCCACACTCATGCCCTGCTGCTCGAACAGGACAAAGTAGTTGAAAAGCATCTTGAAAAGCGTTTCTCCAGAGATTGATGGAAAAGCTTCCTTGCTTTTGGTCACCCAAGGTAGGACCCAACAACCAACCAACGGATCTATTTGCAGAGGAAACCCCAACTGGAGGCTGCATGTATGGAGTCAAAGCCTGAAAATATACATGTTTCTCAGCTTAAAGAGACTAATAAGACCGCAAATCAACTTTGCATGGATTTCCATGAGACATAAAATGACTGTTTTATATTTGGGAGAACAGGATTCAACCAAGATCTCAGCATGTAACTTAACCATTGATAGATTATAAGATGGTTGAAGTAGAAAATATACTCATCCCATTTCACAGGCATTAAGAATAACTTAAAGAGAATAGACTAGAGTCATACCTGCCACCATACTGACTCCACTATCCGAGAGAACACCCAAGATTCAAATTTTTCTAATGCAGAAGTGAAGGTTCCCGTATCCTGCCAATATTCAGCAAACTGCAGAAGGCCATTCACGTGTTTACTATTGGAGCTACCTTTCCATTTTGGTGCAGTATGGTTCCCATTTGACTCAGCTAGCCGCCAAGGGGACTAGACTGACATGAATTCCCAAATGCTTGTGAAATTATTTCTCTCAGTACAATGGCATTTGACAACCAGAAGCTTAACCTAAATAAGACATCAAGAGCAGAAAAGTCATTGTTTATTGTTTCAAGTCAATAGAGGCATATGAGTATTTTAATGAACTATGTACCTTGAAACATCATTACCACAAGATTTGGCAACCAAAACAAGGCCAGAAACAGTATTTCTAGCAATTGTGGCCCGCCTGTCTTGGGTCCAATGCTTACAAGCATTAATATAGAGTCTAGAAAGGCGTCGGGCAGGTGTGTGCACCTTGTGTGCTGAGCTCCCGTGCTCTGGTACAACAGCATAAAGTGATATTTCAAGAGCAGCAACTTCTCTCAGCTCCTCCTCAAGTTTTTCAATTCTGGATTCCATTTCCTCAATTTTTGATTCCAAAGCTGCCACCTCCTCATGTTCATAATTTTCTTGAGCTTCGGTTTTTTCATCACTTTCATCTTCACTTGCTAAACTCTGCGTCCCATTTGAGGTTCCATCTAGGACATCAAGTTCCTTGATCCCATGGACAGTTTTTTCATCTACTCCATCAGAAGATTCTGACGAAGGTTTTGCAGGGAATTTTGCAGTCTTATTGTTCAAGGAGTTATTTTTGTTAGTAACTCCAGAAGGTCGTCTATTTGAGTTTCCAGGTTTCTTCTGATTGTTATTATTTGATGCTTTCATCTGCACTGTATTTGTCCTTCTATTAGTTCTCTCCCTTGATCCACGATTACCTTCTGAGGAAATCACTTTTGCCTTACTTTTAGGACCTCTTGAAATTCTTTCTATTTTTTCATCCTCAACTATGATACAGTCTCCTTGGGAAGATACCGAATCCTTTACCGTCTCAGTATCTGAAACCTCTTCATTTCCTTCCTTTTGCCCTTTCTCCATATCACTAGAATGATCATCAAGCACGTCATTCTTGTTTTCTTTTGGAACCATTTCGTTTACTTTCATCTCCACAGGTGCCTCGTCAGACCTGTTGACATCATCTACATAATGTATAACCAAGCTTTCATAAGTTTCAGAGGTCTCTGAAGTCGCGTTTGAATCACTTACAAAATTATGTACTGTTGGCTTAGTCTTTGATTCAGTTTCTTTTACATTCTCAGTTTTGGATGAATTATCTTGGTGCACTTTATTCTCTCTCCTTTCAGTTCTTCTAGAACTCTTTGCCTGACTATTCCTTGAAGCCTTTCTCTTATCAACTTCTTTCATGCCTTCAGATCACTTCAAAAATCAATTAATGAAGAAGCTGCGTGGAGGAAAAAAACATAGCATTAACTAATCTTAGCAAAGCCCTTGGAGCAGAAGGAAATTCTCAATTCCTGAAATATTTAAGTTCACTTACTTCCCAATTCTTACGAGGGTACTAGCACGTCCATTAAAGAACAGAAGAGAGAGAACCCCTTTCAGCTGCTTTTCCGGACATTGAAGAACCAGTAAGGTCTACCTGAACATAGAATGCCCTTGCCAATTGTTCAAGAGTTAAAGGCTAAGGGAAACAATTATATGTTAGAGAATTTGCTAAAAACATTAATGCAGTGACAAATAAATGGCAGAAATTGTAAAAGGGAAAACAATAAAGAGGAAGGTTGAAGTGAAAAAAAGACATAGGCAGGTTAAAGAATGAGACAACCATAGAGAACAATGCAATGGCTTCCAAAATAATGACTATATAAGCATGCTTTCTTAATGAATTGCAGGATCCAGTGCAAAGCAATACAAGAAATGAGAACAAGTGCTGGAAGTTCGAGTAGCATACAATTTAAAGCAGTTGAAGGAACATCGGATTGAATTCCGGGGGAAATTGTGCAATAAAATGAGACCTCATATAAAATTTACGAGAATAAAACAACAATACGTAAAAGACGAACTTGTAAGTAAATTACAGAAAAGGGAAAATGTTCCGCACAGATTGTTGAGACGCGTTGTTCTCCATCACAAGGAGGAACAAAAGGTGTCGGCAAAAGAATCATGCATTGGTGGATTCATTTATCAGTGGAAATCTGAATGTTCTCAACGAGATAAAGGAGAAAGAATGGCGTAGGTCGGGAAAACCATTTCTGTAAAAAACAAAAACCAAAAAAAAAAAAAAAACCCTCTAATCCAGATTCTACTAACCAGAGATTACAATAATGTAAGAACCAACTAATCATTAACACCAGTGGGTCAGCAATTTTGTCCTCTAGCTCGTGCCTTCGACTGAGGCAATAATGTTTGATAAACAAATCGGCGAACCAGGTATCAGGACTTGCTTAACATCCATTCCAAATTCGCGGATAAAAACAAACAGGGCTTGCGTGACAATAAGTAAAACAGGGTATGATGTCCATATGCAAACCCGAGGGAGCAACGCGTGCTTAAGAAGTTCAGAACAGAGAATGGATACTTCTTATAAACTAAGACTCAATGGAAAGCAAACACGACATTTTAAATTTCAGTCACAATGACTTGGAGTGGCATATCTTGCCGGAATTCAACTAGACCCGCTAGACAATGTTTTTTGAATCTTAAGTCTACCACCAAAACAAAAACCAGAGAGTTGTTGAGCGCTAATTGAATCTATATCAATACACAAGAGTAAGACGCTAACTGAATCCGAAGCGAAGCATTCCTTACCCAGAAGAAAAACGAACACGACCTTAGAAACAGCCGATTCCAGGATGAAGACACCACCGTATCGAACGCGAACAAATAGCATTCAAAGAATCATCAATCATGGATGGTGAAAAAGAGTGGAAGTAACTGGATCTAGATACCACGTAGGCAAGTACTTCCTCGAATCAAGACAGAAATTTCGACGGCAAGTGAACAACTGGAAGTTTGGAAGAGGGTTGTAGTCAAATCTAAATCTGAGTTTCTTGCCGTATCACGTGAAATGGACAGAAAAAGGACAAAGACAACCCGAGAACGCGAGAGCACACTTAGAAAGCCGTAATATACAAAGAACGGGAAAAGGTTAAAGTATATGGAACTTACAAACAGCTTTTATCTCTGCTTCCGCCTCTATACACAGTCTTCAAGAACTGCTAATAATGGCAGAAGGCCCTCGGGATTCACACATTTGCTTTTCTTTGAAGAATTACTTTCGCGGACATTGGGCTTCGTGCTTTTCCCCTGCCGGCATCTGTCTGGTCGTAGTTGAGAGAAGCGGATGAACGTGGCTGCATCAATGGCATGTAAGGAAGAAGAAGAGTGCGGGAACGTGACATTTAAAACGGAAGAGTGGTGAGTAAGTGAGTGGGATGGCGGGGACATGGTGGCTGTACGGAAGGGTGGGAAGGTGGAGAGATTTACCGGGAAAGGCTGTCGGTGGCGGAGAGCAACCGGGTATTGCCGGTGATTCTACGCGTTATGTGTAAGCTTATTTCCTTCTTTTTTTTTTTTAACCTGACTACAAAAAAGCTGTACCAAGTGATGAGATGAGTCATATCAATATATAAAAAAAATTTATAACTAAAAAGTGGGGCAGCAAAAATATGAATAAAATGATCATGAGTCAATCAATTCACATATTTATTAATTTTTTTCAATTCACGTATTTATTAATTTTTTTAAAGATGTGATTAAAAATGATGGTTTAATTTTTTATAAAAAAATTCTCTTATATTCTATTGAAAGTTGTGATTAGAGGGTTATTTATAAAAAAACTCACTGCCCATTAACGTGAGGTTTCAGTGGAGACGTGTGAGCTTATTTCGGCAAACCTAAACTGCCATCATGGTATTATTGAATTTACGGTCTCTTCTTTGACCATATCCTTGTCTCTTCTTTGACGTGTAAACTCACTTCTTGGAATTTGATACGTTTTTGTTTTCGCCCGTGCCTTAAATCAATTATCCTATCCATGGCACCGCTGACAAAGCTAGGATCCTGAATTGAGTGAGTGGGGAGAATCATTTACATGTTTATAATTTACAAAAAATAATAACAAAAATAATTTAATAATTATATATCTTATAAATTTTTTCCACATAATTTTATGTTTTGAAATAGTTAAATAATTAATTTATTATTAATATTTTTAAATACATCATTTTTTAATATAAATTATGAGACAATTATTTATTTATAAATTTCTGAGTGAGTGGAGAGAATCATTTACATATTTATAATTTTAAAAAATAATAATAACAAAAATTATTTAATAATCATATATCTTATAAATTTTTTCCACATAATTTCATGTTTTGAAATAGTTAAATAATCAATTTATTGTTAATATTTTTAAATACATCATTTTTTTAATATAAATTATGAGACAGTTATTTATTTATAAATTTCTCATTTAATTATATAATTAATTTTTCACAAACTTCATGACAGAAAATGTTCTTTCAATTATTGCTGTGATAACAGGTAATATAATTATTAATTTTAAGAGAAGGTAAATCAATAGATAAATAATATATCTTTTAATTTCAACTAATTTTTTTGCAAATCTCATTTGAGATTTCAAATGATGCGAGCAGATTATTTTTTTATTTTCTTAAAAGTTTAGCACATGTAAATTTTTTATAAAATAATATTAATATTTGAATATATTGAAATTATGGGTTAAAATTTATTGAACTTTTGAGTTAAGAAATTAATTTTAAATCTGAGTTAAAAAAAATATGAAGAGTTTAAAATGTAAAATATAAAAAAAAGGAATATAAAATATTAAAAAGAAAGGATACAAAATATAAATATTTATACTCTTATCTCATGTAAGCAATTTTTTTTTAAATATATGTGGCTCCGCCACTGCATGCCACTTTCACTGTGTCTGCTTTTTGTAAGATTCTAGCATTCTCACCGTGATCAATGAGAATAGTTATCTCACTATTTAAAAAAAAAATGAAACCCTTTCAAATTATATATATTGAGGGTTTGTTATTTGCTTTCTTTGGGAACGGATCCTCTAGTTTTAGCATGTATTCAAGAAATAATAAACCCGGAAGCTTCTGCAGAGATTTGAGAGATGATTAGCCAATGAAGCCCCAAAATTAAATACACGGGCACGGAGAAACTTGCTATATGACGAGCTAGAACGCATTTGGAAGATAAGCACTAAACCAAATCAAAAATCATCGTTCTTGCAACATTGTTCGGAACGACAGCGTTTTATCACCCTAACATCGGGATTGTGTTATGCATTCCGGATCCCGGGGGAATTGTGGGCTATAATTAAACAACAAACTTGTGCTCTAAATTTGGTGGATGCTTTCAACGGAAGGCCTAAACCTGCAACGAAAACGGCTTGATAATAATTAAGACAAGAGTTGGTTAATGTGTGGAATGTGGATTATCAAAGCCTTGTGGTTGCGTCGTCTTTGTCACAGGATGCGTCATGATCCACTTGCTATTGGTTCTTTACTCCTACACAACGATTTCTTGGGATGGAGTTTGGCCATGTTAGGTTGTAATTGTGAAAATGAAAATAAAATTGAGATAAAAATTTAAATAAAGTGATGTTTGGTAGATATGAATTATAATTTTGATAATCCTGATTTCATAAAAAGAGGTTGAATTAAATTATTTATTTAAAGCTATGGAATTGGGAGTAATTCTATAGAATTATAACATTTAAGATACTTTTACCCTCATACAAATTCTAGAAAGATAAATCTGCCCTCAAAAAAAATAAAACCCTCACCCCACTCCTAGTTCCTGATATTTTTGCTCATTATATATAAAACGTTATAATATATATAAGATAGTATTATATATAATATTTGTATATAATTTATATATTTATAATATTTTTGTAAAATATTTTACTGGATTTTTTATTATTTAAAAAGGAAAACTTTTGATTTTCTTGTATTTCCTTGCTACCTTTATTAAATTTTTTATTGGTATACAATTAAATTTTTATTATGTTTTATTTTAATTTTTGTATAGGAATATTTTTATCTTTTAAGTATAGTTTCCATTTTCATATCTTGCATACCAAAAAAAATAATGCAAGAATTTCATCTAATTTTTTTACATACCAAATATGTTTTTATAATTTAACTCTATTTTAATTTTATTAAAAATTATTAATCATACCAAACGAGCCTTAACGTTTCCAATTCTGGCGTTCTCCGTTGGATTTCCGGTTATTTTTCACTCGTCCTTCTTGGCTGGACAAAAGGATCCGTTTCAGAAAAATAAAAGTTAGATTTAAATCCAGATGTTGACCCGGATCCTTCTTGGTTTTGGTGTCTCCACCGTGCGCAAGAGCGCGTCGTAGCATCACATCCAATCTAAAAGCACTTCTATTACTTTTTGGAGTACTAATAATGGTTTTTTTTTTTTTTTTTAAGGAAGGAACAGCTAAGTGATGTTCACTTAGATGATTATTTTTCGCGCACTCGCTTGATCCTGCGAGTAGGATAGCATTGATTCATATGGGGATACGATAAAATGGAGAAGCCAAGCTTTCAAAGTGTACTGTCATGGTGCAAAACATTTTGGGCAGTTGAAAAATGAGAAACATGAAGTCATCTTTTTCGGTGGGCAATTGAAAGTAACTTTGATCCGTCCGCTGCAATGCTTATAACCAGAGTAGTCACCTGTACATTACATGTAAAATTTAATCTGTTTCTTATATAGAACAACTAAATGGTGACACCGTATGACCATAATATAACGTGCGAGCATATATAATGACCACGTCAACCGCCAGCTCAATTACATTAATCAAGAATCAGTTATTTTTATCAAGCACTCCCTTCAATTTCATTTTATAAGACACATTTTATAAAGTTCATTTAATTTATTTATAAATCACGAGTGCAGTTTTTTAAATAATATTTTAAAAATATTTTTTAAATTGTTCTTCATAAAATAAAAAAGGTAACATAATATTATTTTTTAAATTTGTTATATAAGAATATATTTAAAATTTTATATACTTTTATTTTATTTTTATTTTTTTGTACTGATTCGACGAGGCTGGTAAAAATAATTGAAAAAAAAAAAACCGGAGTATATGCATATGATGTCCTTTAACAAGAAAAAACAGAAAAAGAAAAAGACAAATCTGAAGGTTCATCAAAAGGGGAGGAGGAGGGGGAGGATCATATATATACATATATTTGCTTGGAAATATGCTGGGAATGTTCAATAAAAGGTGGAGTTCGAAACAGGGGGCTCACTGGACTTCTAGAAGGATTCATGTACGGTAAAATTATTCCCGAAAGTTAAATTCAAAAATTATTTATTCTTCAAAATTATTGATGATAAATACTCATAAGCTTGGCTTGTAATTTTTTACTGCTTAAGTGGACTTGTAAATCTAGTTGTCTCAACAGTAAAAACTTGTAATATGATTGATGAAATTGTTAGGCAATGATTTTGGACCTTGGGGAACATGAAACTTCTGTATGCAGTGTATGTACCATGCACTATATTGTGAATAATTTTCGCTTCATCCATTTGGCTGGGGCGACGGAATGATGCGGATCCCACCACTGAAAAAACAAGCACCTCAGGTGGGCCCTTAATAATAGCCTAACGACGGATAAGTGATGCCGACGGTCGGTGGGACTGATTGCAGCAGATTACAGATCTCATAAAAACCTTTTTTTTAATATTATTTATATTACAAGGTTATCACCCATCCGGAGAAAATGCATTGATGGGAGCCTCTATTGGGTTTCCGGTGCTAATGGATATGCCTCAATTGCCAGCCATGATAGTCCTGTCAATTTCTTTGTTTTATTTTTTGGGCCAAATAGTCTCGTCTATTCTCAAGTTTCATTGTTTTTTTTATTTGTCCTTATCATTTATGTGACATAAAATTTATATTCGATTTTTATATGTATTATTTTATTAGTGTTGGGATTGACCGATTAATTAAACAAAAGAAAAAGGGAAGGCTTCATCATTCATGCACACTGCACACACATTAATTTGGAATTGAAAAAACGTCCGAAAATTAAAAAAATAAAAAATTATACGAAACATCTGTTCAAATGTTCGTGTTCTTGTCATCCGAGGGACATGTCATGAACTGTTGGGTGTAAAGACATTTAAATATAACAATAATAAGACAGAGGAGGGACGCTGACGGATAAATAGTACTCCCTCCGGTCCATTAATAATTTCAATTTTAAAAGGTGTATTTGATCCCATTTATAAGTCATGGTGCGTCTTTTTAGGTAATATTTGAGAGATATTTTTAAAATTAGTCTTTATGAGAGAGAAAAAGTAACAGGACATTACTTTTTAGATTTATTATATA